AAAGAAAAGAAAAGAAAAGAAAAGAAAAACAGAAGCTGAAGATCCTATGTACTTACAGGTAGTTTGGTGAAAGCCGGGTTGGTGACATGCTTCCCAAAGGCATCTTCTTGGAACTGAAGAAGCTGTACCACCAGTCCAGCCAGCGCTTTATTGGTAGGAGCATCTGCATGAACATACTGCAAGAAAAAGACAGGGATTCAAACACGGCTACAGCTGATGCTGGAGGGAAAGCTATTTTACCTCCTATTATCTATTAAGTAATGGCACGACACCAAATTTTAGGTGTATGAAACACACTTTCCATGGCAACAGAAATGCTTAGTGAGTCCAGGGTAGTGGTGCACGCCTCTAATTCCAGCACTAGGGAGACAGGCAAGAGGATCTCTTTGAGTTCGAGGTCAGCCTGGTCCAAAGAGCAAGTTCGAGGACAGGCAAGGCTACACAGTGAGACCCTGAAGAGGGTTGAAGACCGAGAAATGCTTTAGTGTACACGAAGAACAAATAAGTCAACACTATTTCTGCCTTTAAATAAAGCCTTACAAGCACAGTCACTTCTCAAAACACCCAAGATCCCTGTCAAACACCAACAGTTCACCCACCAAGCTGCAGACCCCAAGCCCAAAGTCAGGAACTAGTTTTTTGGTTTTGTTTTTTTTTTTACTCTTCTGAGATAATATCTCGTGTTGGTAGCCGAGGCTTGCCTTGAGCTTCGAGCTCCCTGTGTAAGAGTGGAAAACCTTGTACTTCTGATCTTCATGCTTATACCTCCCAAAGGATTGCAGATGTGAGCCACTAGTACCAGCTTTCATAAGGTACTGGGGTTCAAACCCTGGAACTAACTTAGGGTTCACTTAACCCTAAGTGCTAAGTGAACACTACAAAATGATTTAAATCCCAAGGTGCTAGTTTAATATTTCATTCATTCGACAAACACTTATTCAGCAACTATTAAGGATGATACAATTAAACATTAACTAGGATCAAGAACAAATCTCAAACACATCCTGGGGTCTCGATGGGGAAAACATTGCTGAATTTGAGGAGTAGAGGAAGTGTTTTGAGTCATTCTTCAACACTGACATAGTGGAGCAATTTTACTATAACAATAACTGGGGCCGGTAGGGTAAAGGGGACTGACCACCTAAATTCGATTCCTGGACCAATTTGGTGTTAGAGAATCACTTCGCTTAAGTTGACAGCCACATAGGAGCGGGATGCACCCCAACAAAATAGATAGATATAATTTTAAAAAAAAAATTAACAAAGAGTTAAATCACAACTTTGTGAAACAACTGACTCAGCAGAATGTACATTCGAAAATAGGAGAAACACGGGAGGTTTGTCAAAAATAAACATTACAAAGAAAACATAGATATAAACGGAGTTCTCGCTTAAGGACGTGAACTTCTGTACTCACATCTTTACACAACACAAAAAGTACAAAAAAAGTGAAAACCCATCACTGTCCCGTATCAAGCCTATTGCAGGGTTTAAATCTACATTAACTCGCAAGGCCAATCATCCAAGGTTCCTTAGCGAATGGAAACTGGGTAGCAAGACCTTAATTACCGAACCGCTTAGAAATTGGTGTCTAAACAAAACTTCAAGCTACTTCTACCACGCTGGGCTCAGTCTTTTAAGCTCTTTGTTCATACACCTAAGGCAGCTAACAAAAGACCGGAGACACACGCCCTGCAACTCTGCCCAGCTCCCGCTGCTTCTGCACAGAAGAAGCGTGCGAGCTGGGGCTTCCCACGCGAGAGTGTGTGGGTTTGGGAGAGCCAGCAGCAAAGGCCCATCCCGCCGCGTGCCTACAGCCGCCCGCGGGGGCGTGGCGAGAGCCAAGCCAGCCTTTGTTGTCCCTCGTGGCGCGCGGGGGGGGGGAGGGGTGGCCCGAGAATCGCGAGGCTCGCAGCCACCACCAGCCCCCGTCGCGTGGCTCCTCGGTCCCCACGGGCGCGCGCGAACCCACCTTCTTGTAGTGCTTGCCCAGCCAGACTCGCACCGAATCCAGCTGGGACACCGTATCCGGGCTTTCCCAAAACTTGCTGGCAGGGCCCCCGTCCTTCCGCCGGTACACGGCCAAGCCCG